TCCCGCAAACCATCAGGAGGGTCAAGCTTACGGCGGTTTAACTATGCGTGAGATAATCTACTAAGTGAGTTGCTAAGTGAAGTGAGGTGAGTCCTGCTATACCATGTAAATAAATTGCAACTTCACAAGTTCAAGTCCTACATGCTGCCTACTGCCCCTTGTGGGTAAAAACGGTGGGAAAACAGATAGGCTTTGTTGAAACATTTATAAATTTCCCGACCTTCTAATTTCAATTCATATTTGCACGAGATATGAGCAGAGGAACTGCTTTATAATTTTTCGCTTCCCTTGTATTGTATTTATTTGAATAAAAATCGTGAAACAACATCTCCTAAGAAACTTTTATCTTTAAATGAGCTCATGCAAACAATAAGAACGACTGGCTCCTGCTTTTACAGCCATTAATGTATTCAATAGAAAGCTTTTCTTCGAGTAAATTCAATTTGTCTCCGATTTTAATTCAAGTCTACTGGAGTTTTATTCGGGCATACTGTTTGGATGCAGCGAGAATTTCTAAATATATCTTCACTGGCGTTAAGGTTTCTTTTTTTAATGCACAAGACCAGTTTTAGCGAATCTAGGGAGAGGTCTGCGTCTAGCAGCGCACGTCTCTCGGCTGAGATGAAGATGATAGGGGCACAGAAGAGCAGACAGGTCACCTGATGGTAAGTGTCTACCGCCGCCCATGGACACCCTGCAACTCAAGAGTCAAGTGCGATAAGGCCCTTTAAATCCCCCCCCCCCACCCGAATCATGGGGGTCGGCTTACTCACTCAAAACGATAGAATTGGTTAACACTGGTATTTTGGACCATAACAAAAGTTTTCCAGAGATAATTATGTCGTTTTCTACAGGTAAATTATATAGAAACGGGTTCGGAAATCATCTGAATGTATGTGTTAAGTGGATGATAATATATTTTTAAATTATAATATAAATAATATTTTCAAGATCTGAAATAGCTTTTCGTTACAATTTTTATCTCTTTGAAATTTGAAGATTCTTAAAATAGTTTTAGTTCCAAAGTCGACCAATGGAAACTAAATCATCTAGCTTTTTAAATAATTATCCTTATCATTTAAAACATTTTAAAATTTAAAACCAAACATATTTCGAACGCCACAACTGCGGACAATCATTCTGAACTTAGTTTTTAATTAAAAGTCTGAACGAACACGCGAGCGCTTCTTTTTTCGAAACGATTCAATCTTAAGCGCGATTAAAAATAATTTATTTTTATTACTTTTTGATTTACTTTATACTCTAATTTTTAAAATGTTTTTGCACAGATAATTTTTTTCCATAATGTACGAGTGGTGACGGATTAAGAATACGGAGTATCGCCACCCCTATTTATACCGTGGGTCTCGTAAGAACCGACTAACTACGCAAAACAACAGCACTATAAAGAGAAGGAAAACTTGAAATAAACCCTTTTTTACGTTACGTGGGCCGTCACCTCACTGGGGATTGCGGCGGAATGGTGTGTTAACTAAACTGCTTATAAACATACCCATATATTTCTAAAGACATAGACATTTTAGATAAATTACACTTAGACACGGAAAAAAAGACCGTGCTCATCACACAATTATTTGTTCTGGGTGAGATTCGATCCCACGACCTCAGGCATATAAGTCAGATTCACCAACCACTAGACCAACACACCAGTCTTTAGGTATGTAGTATTCAATTTTCGTTCATCTAAAAGACTCGGATTTTACGGCAATTGCCAATTCGGGTGATAGGTATACGACCCCAATGGTGGACTGCCGTATAAGCCATATCCACATATACACATGAATAGCCTTCAACAGTTCAGCGCTGGACTTAGGCCTCTCCTTAGAAAGGAGATTTTGGGCTAATATACCAAACCTTTGAGCTTTGTAAAGAAGGCTCGAGGCTAAAGCTCGAGCTTGCTAATAAGCTTTCTAACCTCGAGCTTTCTAACAACACTAAACATACCACGCTGGTCAGACGGATTGGTAAAGGGTTTGTGTCAAGTTTTCCTTCTCTTTACAGTGCTGTTCTCCTGTGTAGTTTGCTCCCTTAGTCGGCTCTTACGACACCGAATGACTGAATACGAATAAATAGAGGTGGCGACACTCTATATTCTTAATTATCACCTATTTTAAATGTAATTCGTGTGAATTACATATAAAATAGGTATACACTAGTATGAAAAGGAATGCTATGACATTTCCATCTTATTTCTCTTTCCGTTCAATATACTTCACTTTCCCATCTAATTCCTAAAGTTCACGGAGTGAAAACTGCCTTCGGATATCCGACTCTCCTGACATAGGAGCCTGCTGTATATGGTGTCTCCACTAAAAACCACCCCGGCAGACGGTCTCAGGCGCCCTGCTCTGGGAAGGACCTAGACCATGTTATTTCAAGTCCCCCCCGGATCGACACAGCGCCTAGCCAGGCCCCATCCCGGGAAAGCAGGCTTTCTCTGTCTATCGGCCCCATCAATGTGTGTTGCGGCCAACGACTATAGACACCCCCCAATTAAGTTATTGGAACTGAAATTGTAGTAGGTGAAATAGAGGCGTTTAATATAATGAGCGTGTCAGTCTAGTAGTTAGTAATCGTGACTGCTATACCACAGGTTATGGGTTTGGTCCCCATCATTTGTTCCAATCATTTGTTCTGTCTCTAGGGAAATAAATATGTTCATCAGCAGTCTGGTTACCATAACACAGACTCTGCCTAGTTGCATTTAAAGCAGATAACTCCTCTATAATCTTAGTTAGACTTGACATAGACCACCGTGAATAACAAACACGTACTAACATATTACCCTTGTCACAATTTATCTTATCTTAAATCGCTTTACCCCAACAAAAAGGATAAAAATGACGTTTAAATTAATGATGGCGCACATTTTCACGATAGTATTTTTTTTGGGTTTTTTAAATTCGCCATTTCATGACTTAAGAACAGTATCTTTCTTGTGTATATATTTTAGAATGTTAATCATACTACCATATTTATATTATAAATGTAAAACTGAATTTGTTTGTTTATTTGTTATGCTTTCACGCTTTAACCCTTAACATTGGCTACGTTTATAAGCGATAACTGATATACACGCGGACGGTGCCGCAGGCAAAAGCTGGTTCACTATAGTACAGAAAAAAGCAAAGCTTTCCGTCGGAGAGCCATGCTTTGGCATGAGTGGATCGGCTCTATCGAAGTGATACTACACAGCAAACCGTTCTTTTGCTACACAGCAATTATTTCATTTATTTTTCCCGAGTGAAGTTGTTGAAGCCCAAAACCGCTTCACTCCCCCTCTTCCCCCTAATTCTGGGAGCGAATCAAGGGGCGAGTACTGACTGCACAGATGGCGTAGTGGTTTGAGCGGTCGCCACACCGCTTCCCACTACGACACTTTGTGTGATCTACAAATTGTCGTTGTGAGTCTGGGTGTTCTTTGTGTCCGTTTCATGAATGTTTGTAAACTCCCTCGTGCCACAGAATATATTTCTAAGGTCTACAAATAAGAGAAAAGAGAAAGAGTACTTGTGACTCCTGAGTTGAAGATGTATATGGGCGGCGGTAGTTATATACTATCGGATGTCCCCTGGGTGTCGTAAAAGCCGACTAAGGGAACAAACTATGCATGACAAAAGCACTGCAAAGAGAAGGAAAACTTGACACAAACCCTTTTTTTTTTTTTAACGTGTGGAAATCCCCTCGGACTTGGACCGACTAAAACCACACGGTGTGCCACTCTGCGCCTGTAATAGGAGGGATCCGGGAACAGCTGTTATTAAGTCATCCGGACCCCTCCTAGCGCCTGCCCGCTCCTGGTGCGGGCTCCGTCTCAAAATTTTAACCTCTCTTTAGGCGACGTCCGGCACACGCGGACCACACTCAGGGCGGCATAAGACGCAGGAAAGGTCGTCCTCCCGGGCCTTCTCCGCCGCCTCCTTCTGCGAGATTACGTCCTCGCAGAAGGTTGCGACCGCGGTAAAACAACTGTCGCTACCGGCCATGGAGCGTACTACGGCCGGTAGCGAGAGATCCACTCCGATGACTGCAGTGAGGGCCCGGCGCTGCGTCGCCCATGCGGGGCAGACCGCCAGCGTGTGCTGGGCCGAGTCCTCACTGCAGTCGCAGTGGTGGCAGGCGGGACTCAGTTCCCTCCTAGCGACCGAGTGCAGGTACTTTCCGAAGCAACCGTGCCCGGAAAGCACCTGCGTCAGCCGGAAGGTAAGGGTCCCGTGCTGCCGCCCTGCCCACTCGGCGATGACCGGCTGGAGAGCCTCCACGGCGGCGAAGCCAGCGCGTGGAGTCTCCAGCCGGAACGACCAACGAGCCATCGTGGCTCGGCGAGCGGCTTCGCGCCACTCGCGCACGTCTTCGGGCGGAGGGCGAAATCCGCTCTCCGCCCGGGAGTCAGCCACTCGCCGATAAACTTCGGCGAGCACTTCCGCCTCCAAATCCCACGGGGGAGTGACACAAACCCTATACCAACCCGACTGGCATAGTATATTTTTGCATATGTAACTAGGAGGTTCTAAATTCTTATATTTACATTTGCTACCTCAGATTTCGTAATTAATTTTGGGAAATTCTTTTTTTTTTCATTTGGTAGGCTTACTTTACGATTGATTCCACTAATATTTTAAGAAATATAACGTTTTATAGTGAAAAACAAAAGAATGAAGAATAAAGTTTATATATCATGGGAGGCGGATTGAATTTAATTAAAATATTTTCCAATAGTTTTGGCGCGGTTATCGTGATTTTAGTTTTTAAAAATTGGGAAAATTGGAAGTGACTTTGGTCTGTTATGAACCAGTAGTTACGAAGTTTCCAAACCTTTTTTTGTTAACTGGGTGGAAAATTCCTTCCGATCTCCAGCTCCTCGGAGACACAGAAGACTTGCAGTATTAAGAAACCGATTATTAAATGTGTTGTTAGTATAAGTTTCTAAAACAAATTTTACTTACAACTTTAAAAGAAAAAAGTTATAATATACTTACTAATTAGTGCAAATTTCACCCCTTTCCCTCTAGGTTCCACTTCATTCTTTTCTTCAACTCCTTCTGCAGTCCACGTTAACATCACCACAAGTATTATTACTAGTTTCTTCATTTTACTCAAATTGTTCTTATTTTGAAAATAACTTATTTCTTTTCATAAATGAAACTCCTTTATTTATTTATAAAAACTATTTAATCTGAAGAGTTTTAGTTTTGAATTCGTTCTAAATGCTACAACTCAGTCCAAGATCTGATTTTAAAATGACATTATACACATACTGACAGCAGTGACAGTTGCTTAAAGGTGTTAATTATTGACTCAGTAAGATGGTACGAAAGTTTTGAAATGTATTACAATATATTAGCACTCCTTTTTATGTAATACAGAGGGAAAGTGTTATTTTCTCTGATATAACATTCTTTACGTAAATTTTTCCAAAAATACAACGCGTGAGACTTCACTTTAAATAATCTTAAAATACCGTTTATTATGTGTTTGCGAAGTCTTAATCTTTATAACAAATGTTGTTAGATCTTTTAGGATAGCTTATTGTTACGGGATAATAGACTTTCACTTGAATGCACTTCTTTACGAACTGCGATTCTGAATTCCTCAAACGGAAAAACTGTGTTGTTTCTGATGAAAATATTTTTTAACATGTGAAATTTTCTTTACTACATCATCATCATCAACAGTCTTTAGTAGTCCACTGCTGGACATAGGTCTCATCTTGCACACAACTGCACGAATGGCGTAGTGGTTTAAGCGGTCGCCACGCCGCTTACTACTACGCCGAGTGTTGTGGGTTCAAACCAATCAATAGGCTATACTGACTGCACAGATGGTGTAGAGGTTAAGGCGGTCGCCACGCCGCTTCCCACTACGACACTTTGTGTGATCCACAAATTGTTGTTCTGAGTCGGTGTGTTCTTTGTGTTCGTTTCATGTATGTTTGTAAAGTCCCCCGCGACACAGGATATATTTCTAATGCGAGAGATGTCTTTTTTTAGTGAATAATAATAAAGAATAATCTTAGAAAGGAAGTTTTGGTCCATTATACCACGCTGGCCAGACGGGTTAGGCCAAAACCTTCTTTCTAAGGAGAGGCCTATGTCCAGCAGTGGACTATTAAAGGCTGTTGATGTGATGATGTGATGTGACTGGACTGTCACTCAGAATGTCAGACTTCAGTCGCAGTGTCAACGCGGTCATAAACAATATAACATCGTTGGTCATAAAACCATAAACTTGCACATGATTCTTATAATTTCATTCTTATAATCGCCACGGCATCAAACTAAACAAATATTATTTATGAACAAAGTTCAAGCACTTTTAAATTAGTTTCATATTTTATGTGTTCATCACGACGAATGTTGTTCGAACTTCTTCAATTTATTTCGAATGTCAACAACAATCATGTTAATAAACTACGATACAATAAATATTATAAAAAAGTGTTTTTTTTTTAAATTTAAGGCGTGAATTTGTGTTCGAAACTACAAGTAAACTTTTGTTCGGCCAATTCCACTTCCCATGAATCTGCTGCAAAAGCTGTAACTGCATGACAATTTAAATTTTGTGCTAACATAGCACAAAATTTTAGAATAAAATAAGGCCTCACTAACTCGGTGAAAAGAAACAAAAGAACACCGGTTTTCGGTGAGTCTGGTGCATCACTCCGGTCGAGACTGACCCAAGTCACTGACACAACTGACCCATGACGAGACATTCAGTTACTCTTTTTATTAGTATGATTTATATTATTAGTATACATGAATAGATGAAAACTTAAAAAGTATCTACTGGACATAGGTCTCTCCTTATAAAGGAGGTTTGGGCGTAGTATACCACGCTGTCCAAGCGGGTTGGCATAGGGTTTGTGTGGGGTGCTGGGCTAGAAAACCTCCTCGTGGTGCACCCTGGAAACGCTGGCGATGGTACTGTTTCCTCCTTGTCCTCTTGGAGGAGAGGATTATCGCCAGCGGCCAATATTCTAGCAGAAGAGGCAGCCGTTCATCGGCTCTCGGGCAAGGCCTGGTCCAGCAGGGTGGGCGTGTCTGCCGGTTGCCCTGCTGGCTCTTCGCTCTTCGGAGCATGGAGGAGGAAACCTCGGTAAAAAACCTGATGGCGGGGCCCTGTAGGGGCCACAGTTTCTCCGCTGATAGCGGTGGAGAAAGGAGGACGGGCTCGGCGTGTACTGACACTACCACCGAGCAGGCAGGGGGACGTAGTCTCCCTGTCAACCGTCGGCATATCGCAATCCCGAGAAGAGCGCTGTGGTTAAGTCTCGCGGCTCTGATCGGGGGCGAGGGTCTTGGCTTAACCGCCCGGACCGCGAGGAAGATAACCTCTCTAAAAAATTCCCCGAATCCCGTGTTCTGGTGCGTGGCCAGGGGATGCATGGCTGATGGGAAGTTCAGTCGCGAGCGCACTCCAAGCCGAGGTACCTGCGGACCCCTCGGTTGGGTTAAAAACTTACGCTTGCCCGGGTAATGGGGGATCTCTGCCCGGGTGGACCTTTAGTTCTCCCCCACTCGTGGGATTTATTATGGATAATGATAAGCAAAACATTCAGAAACCGATCGGAAAACAAACCAAAACGAAAAAGGCAAGTCAAACGGACACGGCAACGAGGAAGGAGAAGAGGAACAGTGGAGCGGATGGGTCGTCCACTGAGGGTGAGATGGTGTCAGGAACGCCTATCTCGATGGGGCTCCCAGAGGTCAGTCTGACTCTGGTCTCTGGGAGCCGAAGGGCATCGGATCGTTTGCGTTCCGGATCCGCCGTTTCATCGGATGGCGCGGACGCCATGGAAGCGGAGCGGAGCGACAGCCGGAAACGCGGACGCTCCAGGGAGGAGGGGACCGACACGTCCGGCGAAATGATGCCACCAAAGGTGGCAAGCAGCCGCCGAGGGAGGGCGCGTAAACCGGCCTCGGCCTCGGTCTCGACCCCGTCAGGCTCCGCGTTCTCAAACGCGGAGTCCTACAGGAGCGTACGAGTGGACGGCGAGGCCGTAGCGGAAGAGGAGATCGCGGATCTCCTGCTCAAGGTTCGGCAGCCGGTGGGGGGAAATGCCCCCCAGGCTCCCGTGTCCGTGCAGGAGAGGGCGAAAGCGGCGGTGGCCGTCATCGACAAGGTGGCCACCAAATCCGTAAACCTTAAGGGCTCGTTTGTGAGGGCCCTTAAGGACTCCTCCTCCGCTTTGTCGGAGGTCGTGGAGGGCCTAGCGGGCGACGTCTCTCGCCTGCAGGTGGCCAACGAGAGGCTGACGGAGCGGGTGAACGAGCTGAGTGCTCAGTTCGCCCGCTTCCAGGCGAACCTCCCCGAGCGGGAAGCCCCGTCCGCGTCCCAGCCTGCCCCTACCACCAACTCAGGGGCATTTGACTCCAGTCACGCAGTTGGGAATATGCTGGACGGACGCCTGGCTGGCCTGGAGGCGAGACTGCCCCCTGCGCCGATTATGCGCCCCCCGCTCGCGTCGGCACAGCGGCCTAAGGCCACCGCTCCGACCGCGCTCCCCGTAGTGGGAGGCCGCGTCTCCTACGCGGCGGCGGCGTCTGCCCCGACTCCATCGGCTCCACAAAAGCCGACGAGGAGGGGGGCCAAGGCACCGGCCCAGGCGCCGGCCAAGGCACCGGCTAAGGCGCCGGCCAAGGCACATCCCCAGGCGCCGGCCAAGACGGGGCCTAAAACGGCGCCGAGGAGCGGAGTGGCATTCCCTCCGCTCCCCACTCCGACACCCCTGCCGGGCCCCTCCGCACCTGCCCCCTCCAACGAGGGTTGGCAGGAGGCGAGGGGCTCCAAGAAGTCGAAAGGCGGGCCAAAAAGGCTGCCCAAAGAGCAGCCCAAGCACTGCCTTCGCCACCGGTGGCAACGGCCTCTGCAAAGAGGCCGCGGAAGCTGCAGCCGCCCAAAACCGCGGCGGTAGTGGTGACCGTGTCCCCGGAGGCGGCTGACGGCGGGCTGTCCTACGCGGCCGTGTTTAAAATGGCCCGGGACAGCCTCGCCAACGACTTTGGGACGGTGGGGGTGAAGATGCGCCTCGCCCAAACGGGAGCTCGAGTTCTCGAGTTCCCAGGGGCTGAAGGCGCCAAGACGGCGGACACTTTCGCTGAGAGGCTGCGGGGTTTATTCGCGACCACAGATGGTGTCAAGATCGCCAGGCCTACCAAGTGCGCGGAGCTGCGCATCTCGGGCCTGGACGACTCTGTGACGGCCGAAGATATCCGCGCTGTAATCCGGGAGAAGACGGGGTGCAGCGCGGACAACGTCAGGGTCGGCACCATCCGCCCCGGTCCAGGAGGGCTTGGCGCCGTGTGGGTCGGCTGTCCCGTAGCGTCGGCCAAAGTATTGGCCGACGCCGGCAGGCTGCTCATCGGTTTCGTGAGCGCCAGGATCACAGTCCTGGCGGCGAGACCGATGAGGTGCTACAAATGCCTAGCATCGGGACACACGCGCGTCAAGTGCGACAGCTGTTTTGACTGCGGCGGACTGTGTTTCCGCTGCGGTCAACCGGGGCATAAGGCGGCAGAATGCTCTGCCGCCCCTCACTGCCCAGTGTGTGCGGCGGGCAATAAGCCCGCCAATCACCAGATGGGGCAGAGAGGCTGCAAGCCTCCCCGCAGTTCTCGGCAGACGTCGGGGGTTAGCCAGTCGACCCAGGCTGCCTCCGATGTAGTTCGTGCGTCGACGTCGTCGCCCATGGAGGAGGTTGTAGAGACGATCCAGTAATGGATCAAGTCTCCAACCTCCTGGTCCAGACGAACCTGAACCACTGTGCCGCGGCGCAGGATCTCTTCCTGCAAACCATGGCACAGTGGTCGATAGGTGTTGCCGTAGTCGCGGAGCCCTATTCTGTCCCTCCCCGTCCAAACTGGATGGGTGACTGGGACGGCTCCGTGGCAGTCGTCGGTTCCACGACGGCTCATTCCCCGCCCTTGTCGCTAAGAGACAAGGGCACTGGATATGTTGCCGTCGAGTGGGGGGGGATCACCATATATGGTGTCTATTTCTCCCCCAACCGGAGTTTGAACGACCTCGAGGTTTTCCTAACCAGCTTGGAGACCTCGATACGGCGACTAGCGTCTGGGCACGTCCTTGTGCTG